CTCTCTCTCTCTCTCTCTCTCTCTCTCTCTCTCTCTCTCTCTCCATTTCTCTCTCTTCCTTTCCGTTACCCCATTAACCGCGTCTCTGACGTCACAGGGCGATTAAGGTTTCTTATTGGTCCCGCGAGCAGATGGAGGAGTCCTAATGAGCTGGCTCGCGCAGAGAAGGAGCAGGTTATCATCTCGACCGGAGCAGCTCTTCCTCCCATCGCCTCGCTGCAGAGCTCGGTGGCCGGGACGCGGCCCCCCAGTCTGCCCGACCCTCTTCTCCCGCTCCGCTATCGCACCTCCTCCTCTTCCCTCGCCACCACGTTTTTTCTTCTTCCTCCATTTACTTTTATTTTTTTTTTTTCTTCTCCTCCCTCCGCTCCGCTGACTCGCTTCCCTCCCTCCTTTGACTGCATGTTCAGCCACACCGCCTCCCTCCGCTCCTTCACTCCGGCCCGGCGAGCATGGACGGTCGGGTTCTCGAGCATCCTCACGCCCAGTTCGGCGGCTCCCTGGGCGGCCTGGTGGGCTTCCCGTACCCGCTCGGTCCCCATCACCACCACCACCATCACCACCAGCACCAGCACGTCTACGAGCTGGCCAACGGACACCACCAGGCCGCCGTGCCCTTCTCTATAGACGGATTACTGAACAGCTCGTGCTCGGCCTCGGTGGTCTCCTCCGACAGCCAGCAGTTCAAACTGTCAGGTGGGTCCCACTGTTAATGTTTACCAGAGCTGACTGGGAAAACTTTTACCTCATGTTGGATCACACTTTCTGGGAGAGTCGGATAATTTAGGAATGTTTTAAAACAGAAAAGTCAGAGAAAATGTGGTATTTTGTATAAAAACATTAGTTTTGGAATTAGAAAATTCACAAAAAAAAGTTCCAAAACAGGTTCAGATTGATTAATTTGACAAATWATTTTCATTTCCCGATTAAAACTGTGTTCATCAAGGGTCACAGCTGATTATAAGAAACAAAAAGATTAATTTAAAATGTGTTTGAGCGACTGATGCATATTTAAATACTTAGATTTTTTACAGTAATATAATTCTCTGACTCTCTCCCCTCTCTCTGCAACACGAACGCACACGCACGTCATTGCACGCACGCGCACGCCTGCAGATTCTGGCGACCCGGATAAGGACAGTCCCGGCTGCAAACGGAGACGCACGCGGACGAACTTCACCGGGTGGCAGCTGGAGGAGCTGGAGAAGGCCTTTAACGAGAGTCACTACCCGGATGTGTTCATGCGGGAGGCGCTCGCGCTCAGGCTTGACCTGGTGGAGTCCAGGGTTCAGGTAGAGACAAGCTCACACACCTCACAGAGACATTATACTTTATTTGGAGTTTTTTTTTTAAAGTCAAGTTTATTTTACCTTTTACTGCTGGTTTATTTTGAAGACTTTAAGGACAAACGTTTAAGGGATAATTGTTTTGTTGTGGCCCGGAAAGGCCCTTCCGGTTCTTTGGATCAATACTTAGAAGAGCAGAAAGGACCCGTTTGAATTTTTCATGTGTGCAGCTCATCGATCTGTGGGTTAATTAAAACAGGGCTGTTTACAGAACCAATCAATGAGCAGAAATATTCCTGATTTATAGATGAAAAGTTCTGATTGGGTCAGAGTTATTTTTCTTTTGTTTGCTGTCAGTTTGAGAAGTTAACCTGGTGGCTTTAATTTTTTTAAATAAAAAATATTGATTATATTATATTTATTTG